AATTTCTTGGAGCACTGGGAGTTTTAAGTCTTTTTCCCGCAGCAGCCGTCTGCGCAGCGTGTTTGACGAGCATTTGTCAATCACTTGATCACGTATGAAATCATCTCTGTTGTCCCCAAACTCACATGTAGCTGCTAGCTTCTTTAATCTACACACATAATTGTTCTACGGACTCTCCTTGCATTTGTTCTGCTTGTCTGAACATGTCTTTCATAGGGGATATTTTCCTGCGGTGTAAAATAAGCATTCAACTTGTTTACTGCACCGTCATAGTCAGCCTCGTCTGCCGTTTCATCCATAGTGAAGAATATGTCTTGGACCTCATCTCCTGCTAGGTGTAGCAACAAAGCTCTTTTCCGTGAGTCGTCTCGAATTCCCGACGCCACTAAATAGAGTTTAAAACTATTTAGCCACTTTTGCCGGTGGACACCGACATTAGCTGGGTCGCTCGAAACGTCAAAAGAAGTTACCGCCGGTAGCGCCATGCTAACTCCGTTCACTTCTCTTCTTCCTCCTCGTCAGATTAAACTTCATGCAGTAACCGGTTTTCTTTTCCTCCGCGTTCCGTTTTAGATTCTCGTCACCATTTGTAATGTTTCCTTACTTCTGTTTAACAATAATAATCAGGCTCCAGTCGGACGGTCATTACCATGCTTCTTTATTCGTGTCTCACTCGTTCTTTTACCTCTCTCGTACCCCTGACGTCATCACGCATATATCTGTGTTCCCAGACACTACAACAGGGTTTGTTCAGCAATATAATCTTTTTAAGTAAATCTTTTTACTTAAAAAGTAAAAACCTAACACTAGGCTATAAACCAACTACACCATGGTCACTTCTGACTTCCATCACCATTAACTACCAAGTTGTAATTAAATTGTGTAATTCAAATCTACAAGTTGTAAAATTTGAGTTAGAATCTTTTGCAAGAGTGCCAATATAAACTCTGCAAGGCTGTAAAGGCAGACTAGTAAGTAGATAAGTCAGGTCAGTGTGCAAACGTCACAAACAACCTCTGTAGTCTCATTTAGCTGCTTGTTAGGTATTTTTAAGACACTTAAAAACTCAGGTGGGGTAGAACAAATCAGGAACTCTTTTAAACTTGTGTTAACCAAAGACCTTATTTCTGGCATCTAACCAACAACCCATTCAAAAGACCCAGTGACTTTAAGGAGAGGAAACCAGAAGTGATAAAATGCTACCTCATATCTGGGCACTCTATGAACTTCAATATGTTTATATGTGAATGTGAATATGTGAATATGTTTGACTACCCTAAATTTTAAGTGAATGTCAGTTTATTCTCTTCACTGCCAACCTAAATATTTACAGTGAATGGTTAAATCTCTTGTCCTTCTCCAATTGGCAAAACCTCATTCTGTAAACACATCTTAATCATTGGTGGCCCCAGATTTTCCACAGGGCAGAGAAAAACGTGTCTTGGTATAAAGAGTATTGTAGCCATGGCAGAAAGTGATACCAACTTAAAGTTAAACGCGGGTGGAACCTGGCTAAATACCCATAATAGGTACAATTTCAGTACAGGCTATGAAGCTGGTGTTGCTGAATCAACATCGATATTTGACACTCAGTGTAGTATACAGAGCATCCAGACAATCTAAATTGTTTCTTTAGTAATCCACATTCATAATAAGGCCCATAGACTGGCAATGGTGTCACAGAATGTAAAGATGAACGTTTCTAAACTTTTCGCATATTAAATATCACTTATATCAGAAAGACTACATGTAACTGTATACTAATGTCAATAACCAAACTCAATCAAACTCCAACATATATTTAAAAAAATGACTTTCACTATTAAGATCACTGCTTGTAGAACTTAATGAACCAGTTGGAGAGAAAAACATACTGTATCTTAACCCAGTCGGCCACAGGGGAACATTGCTCTTATGCCTTTGAAGGGGACATCAACACTGCAAAATACATCACTTCTGTGCTCCAGGGGAGTTTACTGATTTTATTTTTCCTATCCAAGTCTCTTTTTGCTAAATACACTAAAAACAAGATTTTCTTGCTGATACCAAAATAATGAAACAGCCTGAATGCTTGAACACTTGACAAAGGAGAACATTGGAGTTAGCAAGATTATAAATTAATTCACAGGAATTACTAATGACTAATTTGGATACAAAACCTCTACAGACTTTTAGTCTCAGAATCTCTGTCAACGAAGCAGTGCATTTGTAGTTATGTACTTCCATTATCATAATGTTTCCAACAATGTTCAAACTCAGAGAAATCTGCCATTTTATTCAGGTAACGCTGCGTTTCACCAGTCGCTTGTCAATGGCGCCATATCATGCGCCATTGACAAGCAGCAGCTCGGCTCGCAGTCCCTCCGGGACGTCCTTTGTCTGT